TTTCGGAACGTAGTTCTGCCATGACAGACTCATCTCCCTAGAATGTGGTGAGATCCAGTACCTCCCGTTCAGACCATGCTGGAGCTCGTCTGCGAATCCAGTACTGCGTGATTTCTTGTGATGCTGGACTCTGCATGGTCGCCTGTGATGGTGAACTGTGCTGATGGACACCTGTGCTGCTGGTGACCAAACAGGAAATGAAATTCAAAAGTTCCCGGGGCTTTTCCTGACCACCTGGCTAGTGCATTGGAGTTGACAGTGTTGTCCAGAGTGGTCACAAGGGAGCATCCTGGGATAGCTCCCGGAGGCCAATAATGTCAAATTGCGTCCACAATACTTTTAACCCGGGATTGCGATCTCAATTTAAGCGCTACTCCACTTGCCAGGGAGGAGTACAGAAATCGAATTAAAGAGCTCTTTAAAACGAAAAAAAACTTTGGGTCACGTGGACGGAATCATTTTTTCTCGCAATAACTCGGCTAATTCCGAAATAACAGGCCAGTGTAGACCAGGCCTAAAACTGCCAATATTCACCTGAAGAAGAGCTCTGTGTAGCTCAAAAACTTCTCTCATCCACCAACCGGCGTTAGTGCAATATAAGATATTACACCACCACCTTGTCCCTCTAATATTCACAAAGCACATCATGACGCTGTTTTGTTGGTGGTATAGAAATACAATCAATATGATTGTGCTCACCTGTAACCACAGCACAGCCCAAGCTTGAAACACAGAGCTCTTATTTCTCAGGGCTTGGCCGCCAGGATGTAAGTTCCTCAGGTGAGGTTCTTGTCTCTCCTCTTTCTTCAGAAGTTGAATTTTCTCAGCGAAGAGACCTGCAGTTACCTGAAGGGACGAGCAGGTACCTTAGATTTACATTCGGAAAATGAGCTTCTCCTTCGATTTAAAAAGTGTAAATGCTGCTGCATATTTGTATTAGGTCTTCACTCTTTTTAATATGGTTCCATTTCAAACTTTCTCCCACTTGTCTCCAAAGCTTTGAAGCTAACAATGACCAATGGGAATTGTACAGTGTGACTTGTATAATTCATTTTTTTTTAAAGTCTAATGAACCTATCTGTAAAATATTTGACATCATGAACAAACACCAGCTTACATTTTTGGAATATGCCTGTGCAAGGTGATGGCCTGTTATAATGTACTTACACCGCCCCTTAATTAATATTCAATATATGCTGTCATCTAGTGGGCATTTCTGAAAATAGCTCCCCATCTATCACCCTTACAACATACTTTCACTTAGGGAAGAAAAAACAAATGCACAAATACAGAATGGGGGATAACTGGCTTGGCAGCAGCACTGTTGAAAAGGATCTGGGAATTGTGGTGGATCACAACCTCAACATGAGTCAGCAATGTGATGCTGTTTCAAAAAAAGCAAATGCAGTTTTAGGTTTCATTAACAGAGGCATAGCATGCAAGTCTTGGGAGGTGATAGTACCACTCTGCTGGGCTCTGGTTAGGCCTCAGCTGGAGACTCTGCCCAATTTTGGTCACCAATGTATAGAAAATATGTAGAGAAACTACAAAGGATCCAAAGGAGAGTGACAAAGATGATCAAAGGATGGAATGCAGCCATATGAGCAAAGGCTGAAGGAACTGGGTGTGTTTAGTTTGGAAAAAGAGGATATTAATGGGGGGATATGATAGTGGTCTTCAAATACTTGAAAGGCTGCCATAAAAAAGATGGAGAAAAGTTGCTCTTTCTTGCCACACTGGACAGGACAAGAGGCAATGGGTTCAAACTGCAGCATAGCAGATTTAGATTAAATCTCAGGAACAACTTCCTAACTTTAAAAACAGTAGGACAATGGGGAAAAAAACCCATAGGGAACTCGTGGAATCGTCTTCACTGTAAGTTTTCAAAAGGAGGCTGGGCAGCCATCAGTCTTGGATGGCTGAAACTCAACAAATCCTCTATCTTGGCAGGGGGTTAGACTAGATGACCCCTGTGGTCCCTTCTAACCCAAGGGTTCTATGCTGCCATCTAGTGGCCAATTATTTTATTGTCTGCTGAAATGTATTGGTCACTAGTCAGTATTTCTGACCGCCCCCCCTTTCATTTCCTCTACTCTGCTGCCATCTAATGTCAATGTCCCAGCATTGCAGCCTGTTACTCTGCTCTCCTCTAGTGTATTTTTCGTCCAATAGCTGCCTCTTTCCCATTTTCAACTATAACTCACTCAATAATATCTGCTACTATCCACAGTTCATTACATAGTGTAGAGTTCCTTTTCTCTTCAATACTCTTTCCTCGTCACTTCTGCATCATTATACAGCTTCACCTCCCTTTCCACTTCCCTCTGTAGTTGATTTGGAAACATAATTTCTGCTTTCTTGCCCTTCCACTTTGGCTACTGTCCATTGGCCATTGGGCTGCACCTCTCCCATTCCTCTGCCCTCTAGTGGCCCTACACAAAATAACTGCATCTTTCCTCACTTCTTACCTATAGCTAGGTGTTCGCTGTTCAAAATTATAAACATTGGGAACCAAATCACACAACAGCATGATTGGAACATTAGAGACTACACTACACATACAACATTAGTGGGTCTCAATGATTTATCAGGGGTTTACCATTAATCCAGTGCATTTCTGTTGGTGTGGAGTCTCTTTCCAATGGAAATACATAGATGGAAACTACAGTGACAACAGCCCAGTGGTTTTCCAGGCTAAGATTCTAGGAGGCATCTAAGTGAGATAGGCACCCAAATCCTTTTGAAATGGGAGATGGATGGTTAACTCTGTTAGGTAACTTAGAAAATCCTTTCTGCAGTGATGAAGTCCTACAGTTCTCACTGGTGCCCAGCTCCCCTCCCTCTGGCCGAGTACTGACGTGCTCACAGTGGCAGAGCCAACACTGCTGTGTTTGACACCATAGGAGTTCTGCTCGTTGCTAGGCGGTAGTCACTTCCTCTCACCGTAGGTTGCATCATGCCTTGAGGAGAGCCCCTGCATGCAATAGAGCTGTCCAAGAAACCTGGGGGTGGTTGGACACCGTGTCCTGAGAACTAGCCCTCTGGGGACATACACTTACTGCAGTGAGTTTTGGAGACACTCATTGTAACAGGGGCTCTCCCTTTGAACTGCTTTGTGCAGTTGGTGGCAGCAGAGCAGCTGGTGGCTTGCAGGGCCACATGCAGAGTCCCTCGTCAGTGACCATTTGACAGACCCGGCCCCACAAATGGCCTCAGTTCTGCGGGTCCCCTGACAAACCCTCAGCTGGATCTGGACAGTCCCAGTGTCCCTGGCTTGTGAGTCTAGCTCTTTGTTTGCCCAACCTCCCTGCCTCCAAGGGCCCAGTGAGCCTGGAGCTGTTGCTTTGCTGGAGCTGGTCACAGCCAGGTTTAGCTCGGATAAGAGCTATAAAGCTGTTCCTGGTGAAGTGTCTAAAGGTCACTGCTTGGGCCTGGCTGTTTACATCCGGCCTGTGTGAGTGTAATGAAGGTGGTTGGTTTGTAGGGGCGATGGAATTAGGCACAATTTCAGAGGTAGCAGATTTCCCCAGCTTACATCCCCACATAGGCTGCAGCAGAAGTTAGTATTTTTATTGTCCAAACATTATTTTGATAATAATGGCTTTTATAGAGATATACATAAATGGTTAAAATGGTCTCCACTCTTCCTGGTGCCCAGTTGAAAACTCCATGATAGGAACATGGTTTTGGCCACCTCCCTCACTGGTCCTTCCACTTAGATGAACAATGGGAGTTTTCAACTTAATTTTAATGGGGCTATGCAACGGGACCCCCAGTGTACAACCTGGAGCTGTGGGACCGCAGTATCCCCCTTACTGCTCCAACCCAAGCTGTTTCTCATGATGCTTTAATAGTGAGAACCAGCAATATCCCCCCCCACCACCACCCCCTCCCAGTTACTGTTATCACTCAGTCACACTCAACTGAGTTGCATGAATGCTATCCAAGCTACTTATGAACTATACGGAGGGAGACACCAGCAAATCCCCCCAGCCTTGCACCCCTATAAATGTATCATCTTAAACTGCTTAAGACTTTCTCTTGAACAATGCTAGCTCATTAATTAGTTCACCACGATCAAAAGATAGTGGACATGCACCAGCCCTTATTATCTGAGGAGATTTCCCCATGCAATGTAGACAATCTCACTGGTTAAGATTAAACATTAAAATAAGTTTATTAACTACAGAAAGATAGTTACCTAACACTTATAATAACTTAAATTCTATCTATGACATGTATGCCTAAGGGAAAAAAATAAAAACACATTCTAAATCCTAAACTTTCTCAGACTCAGTAAGATCTGAATCAAACAGCTTTTCTTACTCCACTGGATGTTTCAGGAAGATTACAGTTCTTAATACACAGGAAGAATCCCCTCGCACCCTGAGACCAACCTCCCCAGTTCAAAGTCTTTGTCTTCCCAGTGTTCTTGTTGCCTCCAGAATAGGTGGGGGAGGAGAGAGGTGGTCTCATGCTGCTACTGTCACTTATTTTATACTCTCAATTCATGTCCCTGGAAAAATACTGGCCCAGACAAGTCCTCGTGGGCCTTGCTGAGTTACAGAGTTGAGCGATTCCCATTGTGTAGTGCTTACATAACTGTGTCTTCCAGAATTGTGAATTTCTTGTTTACAATATGCCTGCTGGTCAATGGTTGGTTTTAACACCCGCCTGGTGTTAAACCTCCTATGCTGTCATTGGAGAACTAACAGTGGGTGACTCCTAGATGCCTAATATATTTCAATAACATCCATATAACAAAATCTGATAATGACGTATTCAATGATGATATACATATTTAGACAGAAGAATGAGTTTCAGCAGATCATGACGTTTAATATGATACCTTACAAGGCATGTTTTTTTATGAAATATCACAACCAAATACAAAAGGTGAATATGGGGGTTACAGGGGGCTACTTTGAGGTACAGTGCATCACAGGCTCATTACTTCAATCACACAGGCAGCGTTCAAAATCTCAGGCTATTTTATTATCTCAGAGTCTCTGCATGTTTTTGTGAAAGCCACATTTACTGACTGCTTTGCTCAAGGCTTCCTTGACCTCTCTGTTTCTCAGGCTGTAGATGAGGGGGTTTACCAGGGGAGTCAAGAAAGTGTAGCAAAGAGAGAGCACTTTCTTCAGATCTCTGAGTGTATCACGTTTCGGCAGCATGTAGAAAATCATTAGGCTGCCATAGAAAATTGTCACCACAGTGAGGTGAGAAGAGCAGGTGGAAAAGGCCTTTTGTATCCCGGTGGTGGAAGGGATTCTCAGGATGCTGGCAAGGATAAACACGTAGGACGTCAGGGTTAGTAGGAATGGAGGCAGGGTGAATACACAGGCTAGTATGAAATCCACCAATATGCTCAAGTGTGTGTCACTGCAGGAGAGTTCTATCAGTGGGATGGGATCACAATAGAAATGGTCAATTTCATTCGGGCCACAGAATGTTAACTGTGATAGGAATAAGACAAGGATTATAGTAGCCAAACAACCATTTAACCATGACCCAGCAGCGAACAGGAGGCAAAACCTGTTATTCATAAGAGTTGAATAGTGCAGGGGTTTACATATCGCTAAATACCGATCATAAGACATCGCTGCTAGGAGATAGCATTCTGTACCTACCAGAGCAGAAAAGAAATACAGTTGTGAGAAGCAGCCACTGAATGAGATGTTTTTGTCCCCAGTCAGGACACTGGCTAGCATCCTGGGCAGAAGGGTGGAGGTGTAGCAGGTCTCCAAGCAGGACAAGTTCCCCAGGAAGAAGTACATGGGGGTGTGAAGGTGCTTATCAGCCACAACTAGTGCAATGATGAGCATGTTTCCAGCCACGGTTGCCATGTAGATCACTAGGAACATCAGGAAGAGAAGAATTTGCAGGTCAGGGAGTTCCCCGAATCCCAGGAGGATAAATTCTGTGACAGCCGTTTGGTTTCTCCAGTTTCTGTCTGCCATGAGTTGAGTCTAGGAATAAAGGAAACTGTGCAATTGAATTAGAAGAACATAGAGCTGAAAGGTAATCAAGTGTCTTGAATTAATTCCATAAATATTCAGAAACTATCCCTCCCTCTCCTGGTTACCAGCTGAAATTTTAAGGCTAAATGTTGACTTCAGTCCAAGTGCATGTAGTCTCAATTCGAGAACAGATCTTTGTATCTATATAGTCCACCCTCTGCCACATCAGAGCAATGTCTAATATAACAGTCCATTTCTCTGGTAGCTGAGTACTGATACGACAGATCAGACTCTTTCTTTATCTACTATTGTATCCCATCTAGTGACATACTGAAGCTTAACAATGATGCTTAAATGCAGTATTTCACTTCTGGCAATTGCCAGAATCGTGCCATGACTTAGGAGTCAAAAATCAATAAATACATCAACTAAAATGTTGAACTGAGATTTCCAGTGCAATCTATTTTCCTTAGGCATTGATCATGTGTTAGAATTAATGGAAATTAATCTAACAAAGTTTCCTGGTATATTCAGCAACTTCCCTGTAAGAAAAGGAATAATTCATGCCTCCCTCACAAGAGGTCAGTTTATGCCATAAATTATGAAATGGAGTAAATTCTCCCTTAGTTCCTGTGATGGTGATGTGGTGAGGGACTGGCAATGCCTTTTCTGTTTCCTGATGTTCACTATTTAGTAGTAATAAAATACAGCTCTTTGGAGGTTGGATCTTAGGAAGGGACAAAACCAGGCTGATGTGCAACCCAAGCTGGAGAGTGACCCTCCCCACTCCATACTGATTGTGGGATGATAATATAAGAACAAGGAAGGCACTGCGGAGGGGTGTGTGTTGGGGGGAGATGCTCTTCCTGAACTCAGAGTCTAGAAACAATCTGGCATGTGTCATCTGGGCTGGTAAGACTATGAGCACCCCATTGGGCACATGGTGAGCCAGATTCTCAGCTGATGTAAATCAAGGTATCTTCATTTGTGTCAGCGGGGCAAATCCCCAACTGAGGAACCGTGACAAGACATGGATCTCAAGCTCCATCTCTGTGAAATGGTGCTATGAACGCTGACTGGCACTGCTGTGGGAAGGTGAGGCTAAAATTGCTAATATTCACCTGAAGAAGAGCTCTGTGTAGCTCAAAAGCTTCTCTCCTCCACCAACAGGAGTTAGTGCAATCTAAGATATTACCTCACCACCTTGTCCATCGAATATTCACAAAGCACATTTATGTCCCTGTTTGGTGGCAGTATAGAAATACAGTCAGGATGATGGTGCTCACCTGTAACCAGAACACAGCCCAAGCTTGAAGCCATGAGCTCTTATTTCTCAGGGCTTGGCTGCCAGGACCTAGGTTCATTAGCTGAGGTTTTTGTCTCTCCTCTTTCTGCAGAAAGTGGATTTTCTCATTGAAGAGACCTGCAGTTACCTGAAGGGATGAGCAGGTGCGTTTAATCTACCTTTGGATAATGAGCTTCTCCTTCAATTTACAAAGTGTAAATGCTGCGTCATATTTTTATTTGGTCTTCACGCTTTTTAATATGGTCCCACTTCAGCCTTTCTCCCACTTGGTTCATTTTGTGTCTCCAAAGCTTTATAGCTAACAATGCCCAATGGAACCTGTACAGCATGACTTCTATAATTGCAACTTTTTTTAAGGCTAATGAACCTATGTGTAAAATATTTGAGATCATGAACAAACACCAGCTTACATTTTTGGGAGATGCTTATCCAAGGTGATGGCATGTTATATGGGCAGCTATTTTCAGAAATGCCCACTAGATGGCAGCATATTTTGAATATTATTAAAGGGGTGGTGTAAGTACATTATATCACCCTGACAACATGCTTTCACTTAGGGAAGAAAAACTAAATGCACAAATACAGAATGGGGGATAACTGGCTTGGCAGCAGCACTGCTGAAAAGGATCTGGGAATTGTGGTGGATCACAACCTCAACATGAGTCAGCAATGTGATGTTGTTTCAAAAAAAGCAAATGTAATTTTAGGTTTCATTAACAGAGACATGGCATGCAAGTCTCGGGAGGTGATAGTATCCCTCTGCTGGGCTCTGGTTAGGCCTCAGCTGGAGACTGTGTGCAATTTTGGTCACCAATGTATAGAAAATATGTAGAGAAACTACAAAGGATCCAAAGGCGAGCGACAAAGATGATAAAAGGGATGGAATGCAGCCATATGAGCAAAGGCTGAAGGAACTGGGTGTGTTTAGTTTGGAAAAAGAGGATATTAAGGGGGGGGATATGATAGTGGTCTTCAAATACTTGAAAGGCTGCCATAAAAAAGATGAAGAAAAGTTGTTCTCTCTTGCCACACTGGACAGGACAAGATGCAATGGGTTCAAACTGCAGCATAGCAGATTTAGATTAAATCTCAGGAACAACTTCCTAACTTTAAAAACAGTAGGACAATGGGGAAAAAACTCATAAGGAACTCGTGGAATCTCCTTCTGGAGTTTTCAAAAGGAAGCTGGACAGCCATCAGTCTTGGATGGCTGAGACTCAACAAATCCTCTATCTTGGCAGGGGGTTAGACTAGATGACCCTTGTAGTCCCTTCTTACCCAAAGGTTCTATGCTGCCATCTAGTGGCCAATTATTTTATTGTCTGCAGAAATGTATTTGTCACTAGTCAGAATTTCTGACCGCCCTCCCCCTTCATTTCCTCTACTCTGCTGCCATCTAATGTCAATTTCCCAGCATTGCAGCCTGTTACTCTGCTCTCCTCTAGTGGATTTTTTGTCCAATAGCTGCCTCTTTCCCATTTTCAACTATAACTCACTCAATAATATCTGCTACTATCCACAGTTCATTACATACTGTAGAGTTCCTTTTCTCTTCAATGCTCTTTCCTCACCACTTATGCATCATTATACAGCTTCACCTCCCTTTCCACTTCCCTCTGTTGGTGATTTGGAAACATAATTTCTGCTTTTTTCCCCTTCCACTTTGGCTGCTGTCCATTGGGCTGCACCTCTCCCATTCCTCTGCCCTCTAGTGGCCCTACACAAAATAACTGCATCTTTCCTCATTTCTTACCTGGAAATGGAAAGGATCCAAAAGGTGAGCAACAATGATCAAAGGGATGGAATGCAAGCCATATGAGCAAAGACTGGAGGAACTTGGTATGTTTAGTTTGGAAAAGAGGAGATTAAGGGGGGACATGACAGCAGTTTTCAAATACTTGAAAAGCTGCCATAAAAAAGATTGAGAAAAGTTGTTCACTTTTGCCACAGTGGGCAGGACAGGAGGCAATGGGTTCAAACTGCAGCATAGCAGATTTAGATTAAATCTCAAGAAAAACTTCCAAAATGTAAGAACAGTAGGACAATGGAACAGTCCACTTAGGGAAGTCATGGAATCTCCTTCACTGGAAGTTTTCAAAAGGAGGCTGGACAGCCATCAGTATTTGATGGCTGGGACTCAACAAATCCTGCATCTTGGCAGGGGGGTAGACTAAATGACCCTTGCAGTCCCTTCTAACCCTGTGGTTCTATGCTGCTATCTAGTGGCCATTTTACAGTATAACTTCCCCATTATTTTATTTGGTACTGAAATCTATTGATCACTAGTCAGTATTTCTAACACCCTATCCCCCTTTCATTTCCTCTAATCTGCTGCCATCTAATGTCGATTTCCCAGCATGACAGCCTTTTACTCTGCTCTCCTCTAGTGGATTCTTCTTGCTATAGCTTCCTCTTTCCCATTTTTGACTCTGTCACCTGGTGTATATTATTTAGTATAAAGCAACAGAGGGTCCTGCTTTTTACAGATTCAGACTAACACGGCTACCCCTCTGATACTTGACATTATTTAGTATAAAGAACAGGAGTATTTGTGGCACCTTAGAGACTAACAAATTTATTAGAGCATAAGCTTTCTTGGACTACAGCCCACTTCTTCGGATGCATATAGAGTGGAATAAATATTGAGGAGATATATATACACACATACAGAGAGCATAAACAGGTGGGAGTTGTCTTACCAACTCTGAGAGGCCAATTAAGTAAGAGAAAAAAAAACTTTTGAAGTGATAATCAAGCTAGCACAGTACAGACAGTTTGATAAGAAGTGTGAGAATACTTACATGGGCTTGAATAGAGACTGGGAATGCCTGAGCCATTACAAACATTGAATCTATCTCCCTTTGTAAATATTCTCACACTTCTTAGTCCAGTACAGAAAGTTTGATAAGAAGTGTGAGAATATTTACAAAGGGAGACAGATTCAATGTTCGTAATGTTTGCCTGGGGCGGCAAAAAAGCCAGAGCCGGCCCTGGTGATATAGAAATACAGTCAAGAAGCTGGTGCTCACCTGTAACCACAGGACATCCCAAGTTTGAAGCGATGAGCTCTTATTTCTCAGGGCTTGGCTACCAGGACATAGGTTACTCAGCTGAGGTTCCTGTGTCTCTCCTCTTTCTGCAGAAACTGGATTTTCTCCATTGAAGAGACCTGAAGTTACCTGTGCATTTGATCTACCTTTGTAAATCGAAGGAGAAGCTCATTTTCCAAAGTGTAAATGCTGCCTCATATTTGTATTTATTCTTCACGCTTTTTAATATGGTCCCACTTCAGCGTTTCTCCCACCTGGTTCATTTTGTGTCTCCAAAGCTTTGTTGCTAACAATGACCAATGGGACTTGTACAGCATGACTTCTATAATTGCAACTTTTTTTTAAGTCTAATGAATCTATGTGTAAAATATTTGAGATCATGATCAAACACCAGCTTACATTTTTGGGAGATGCCTATCCAAGGTGATGGTCTGTTATATGGGCATCTATTTTCAGAAATGCCCACTAGATGGCAGCATATTTTGATGGTGTAAGTACATTATATCACCCTTACAACATGCTTTCACTTAGGGAAGAAAAACTAAATGCACAAATACAGACTGGGGGATAACTGGCTTGGCAGCAGCACTGCTGAGAAGTATCTGGGAGTTGTGGTCCATCACAAGCTCAACAGGAGTCAGCAATGTGATGCTGTTGGAAAAAAAGGAAATGCAATTTTAGGTTTCATAAACCGAGGCATAACATGCAAGTCTTGGGAGGTGATAGTACCACTCTGCTCAGCTCTGGTTAGGCCTCAGCTGGAGACTGTGTCCAATTTTGGTCACCAATGTATAGAAAGGATGTAGAGAACTGGAAAGGATCCAAAGGCGAGTAACAATGATGATCAAAGGGATGGAAGGCAAGCCACATGAGCAAAGGCTGAAGGAACTGGGTATGTTTAATTTGGAAAAGAGGAGATTAAGGGGGGACATGGTAGTGTTCTTCAAATACATGATAGTGGTCTTCAAATACATAAGTCTTGGATGGCTGAGACTCAACAAATACTGCATCTTGGCAGGGGGGGTAGACTAGATCATCCTTGCAGTCACTTCTAACCCAATGGTTCTATGCTGCCACCTCGTGGCCATTTTACAGTATAACTTTTCCCATTTTTTTTTATTGGCTACTGAAATCTTTTGGTCACTATTCAGTATTTCACCCCCCTCTCCCCCACCCCACCCCCGCATTTCGTTTTCTCTACTCTGCCATATAATGTCAATTTTGCAGCATGACAGCCTGTTACTCTGCTCTCCTCCTGTTTTTGACTCTCATGTCACCTGGTGGACATTATTTAGTATAACAGCCCATTTCTGAATCCGTAACATCAACTACTATCCACCGTTCATTACATAGCATAGAGGTCCTTTTCTCTTCAATGTTCTTTCCTCTCCACTTATACAACATTATACAGCCTCACCTCCCTTTTCACTTCCCTCTGTTGGTCATTTGGCAACATAATGTGTCCTTTCTTGGCCTTCCACTTCGGCTGCTGTCCATTGGCCATTGGGCTGCAGCTTTCCCATACTGGGAGGAAACACAAGGAGGAGGGCAAAAGACAGGAAGCCTTCTGATTCATACTGAGAAAGTAGGGCAATTGGCTAGATACCTTAGGTGCATGTACACGAATGCAAGAAACCTTGGAAACAAACAGGAAGAATTGAAGTCCTGGAACAATCAGGGAAATATGATGTGATTGGAATAACAAACTTGGTGGGACAGTTCACATGACTGAAGCACTTCATGGAAGGGTATAAACTGTTCAGGAAGGACAGGTACGGGAGGAAAGGTGGAGGAGTTGCATTGTATGTAAGAGAGTGGTATAATTGCTCAGAACTCCCATCTGAAACTGGAGAAAAACCTGTTGAGAGTCTTTGGGTTAAGTTTAGAGGCAAGAGCAACAAGAGCGATATCGTGGTGGGTGTGTGCTATAGACCACCAGATTAGAAAGACGAGGCTTTCTTCAGACAACTAACTGAAGTTTCCAGATCACAGGCCCTGGTTCCAATGGGGGACTTGAATCACTGCTGGGAGAGAAACACAGCAACACACAGACAATCCAAGAGGTTTTTCTATTGTGTTGGGGAAAACATCCTGGTACAAGTGCTGGAGGAACCCACCAGGGGTCATGCTCCTCTTGACCTGCTGCTTACAAATAGGGAAGAATTGGTAGGGGAAGTAGAAGTGGATGGCAACCTAGGCAGCAGTGACCATGAGATGGTTGAGTTCAGGATCCTGACAAAAGAAAGAAAGGAGAGTAACAAAACACAGACCCTGGACTTCAGAAAAGCAGACTTAGACTCCCTTAGGGAACTGATGGGCAGGATCCCCTCGGAGGCTAACATGGGGGGAAAGGAGTCCAGAAGAGTTGGCTGAATTTTAAAGAAGCCTTATTGAGGGCACAGGAACAAACCATCCTGGAGTTCAGAAAGAATAGCAAATATGGCAGGTGACCAGCTTGGCTTAACAGTGAAATCTTTGTTGACCTTAAATTCAAAAAAGGAAACTTACAAGAAGTGGAAATTTGGGCAGATGACTAGGGAGGAGTATAAATATATTGCAAGAGCATGCAGCAGTGTAATCAGGAAGGCCAAGGCACAATTAGAGTTCCAGCTAACAAGGGATGTGAAGTGTAACAAGAAGGGTTTCTACAGGTATGTTAGCAACAAGAAGGTGGTCGTGGAAAATGTGGGACCCTTAGTGAATGGGGGAGGCCACATAGTGACAGATGATGTGGAAAAAGCTGAAGTACTCAATGCTTTTTTGCCTCGGTCTTCACAGACAAGGTCAGCTCCCAGACTGCTGCACTGGGCAACACAGTATGGGGAGGAGGTGAGCAGCTTTCAGTGGTGAAAGAACAAGTTAAGGACTATTTAGGAAAGCTGGACATGCACAAGTCTGTGGGTCCAGATCTAATGCATCCAAGGGTGCTGAGGGAGTTGGCTGATGTGATTGCAGAGCCATTGGCCATTATCTTTGAAAACTCGTGGTGATCGGGTGAGGTCCCAGATGAATGGAAAAAGGCAAATATAGTGCCCATAATTAAAAAAGGGAAGAAAGAGAACCCAGGGAACTACAGACCAGTCAGCCTCACTTCAGTCCCCGGCAAAATCATGGAGCAGATCCTAAACGAATCCATTTTGAAGCAGTTGGAGAAAAGGAAGGTGATCAGGAAAAGTCAAACTGGATTCACCAAGGGCAAGTCATGCCTAACCAACCTGATTGCCTTCTATGATGAGATAAATACTCTGTGGATAGGGGGAAAGCACTGGGTGTGATATATCTTGACTTTAGCAAAGCTTTTGATATGGTCTCCACAGTATTCTTGTCAGCAAGTTAAAAAAGTATGGATTGGATGAATGGACTATAAGGTGGACAGAAAGCTGGCTAGATTGTCAGGCTAACCGGGTAGCAATCAATGGCTCGATGTGTAGTTGGCAGCCGGTATCAAGCAGAGTGCCCCTGGGGTCAGTCCTGGGGCTGGTTTTGTTCAACATATTTATTAATGATGCGGATTACGGGATTAATTGCACCCTCACCAAGTTTGCAGATGACACTAAGCTGTGGGGAGAGGTAGATATGCTGGAGGGTAGGGATAGGGTCCAGAGTGACCTAAAGAAATTGGAGGATTGGGCCAAAAGAAATCTGATAAGGTTCAACAAGGACAAGTGCAGAGTCCTGCACTTAGGAAGGAATAATTACATGCACCGCTACAGGCTGGTGACCAACTGGCTAAGAAGAAGTTCTGCAGAAAAGACCTGGGGATTACAGTGGACAAGAAGCTGGACGTGTGTCAGCAGTGTGCCCTTGTTGCCAGGAAGGCAAATGGCATATTGGGCTGTATTAGTAGGAGCATTGCCAGCAGATCGAAGGAAGTGATTATTCCCCTCTCATCAACACTGGTGAGGCCACACCTGGAGTATTGTGTCCAGTGTTGGTCCCCCCCCCACTACAGAAGGGATGTGGATAAACTGGAGAGAGCCCAGTGGAAGGCAATGGAAATGATTAGGGGGCTTGGGCACATGACTTACGAGGAGAGGTGGAGGGAACTAGGGTTATTTCATCTGCAGAAGAGAAGAGAGGGGGGGATTTGATAGCAGCCTTCAACTACCTGAAGGGGGGTTCCAAAGAGGATGGAGCTCGGCTGTTCTCAGTGCTGGCAGATGACAGAACAAGAAACAATGGTCTCAAGTTGCAGTGGGGGAGGTCTGCATTGGATATTAGGAAACAGTATTTCACTAGGAGGGTGGTGAAGCACTGGAATGGGTTACCTAGGGAGGTGGTGGGAATCTCCATCCTTAGAGGTTTTTAAGGCCTGGCTTGAAAAAGCCCTGGCTGGGATGATTTAATTGATGTTTGTCCTACTTTGAGCCAAGGATTGGACTAGATGATCTCCTGAGGTCTCTTCCAACCCTAACGTTCTATGATTCTATGGAAAGCTATGGGATCGCTACAATGTGGAGCACAGGGAGTCCATGACTGAAGTTGCCTTTAGAGAAAATACAGTCCAGGAATTTGACCATCGGGACTAGTTTGGACCTTTCCTCTGCTGTGAGGTCTCTAGCTTGGAATTGTATTTCTTCTTGGCATTCAAGATATGATTCATTTCTATCCAAACACTTGATCCTGCAGCATGTATTAATGCCAATTATTTCCATGAGTACATTTCAGGACTTCCAGTATTTCTTTAGGTGTCATTTTTCCTAGGAGGATATGGTGCATTTTTAAAATTTCCCAGTGCCGTGAGCATATGTCAGGGTCTGACAGGAAGAAAATCTCAGTATAAGCTCAAAAGCTAGCCTTTTGCCAAGAGAAGCAGGTCCAATGAAAGATATTGCCTCACCCACCTTATTTCTCTAAGGGT